TCCTGCCGAGATGGTGGCAACACTAACAGACTGTGGAGACCATTTGGCCAGGTTCCTACTCCTGATTTTTTTTTGAATCCAGCCTTTCTTTCTCTTTCTCCCACCCCCCTGTTTCTTTCATCCTCTTTCCTGTTCTCTCCCACTCCTCCGGGTACAACTTTAAGACAAGTTAGCAAGACTCATTCATGTCTAAACTGAATGCTTTGATCTGAATGTGTATCAGCCTCAGCGCCAGGACTTGTACAGCATTAATATATTTATTTAAAAGTAACAATTAAGTGACTATTTCCATAAATGTTTGGCAGTCAAGTCGCTAGATAACCTGGTTAAACACACAGTTTTAAAAGCTCACATTAGCTGTTGAACGCTTTGATGCACAGGAATGGGTCCATTAAAGTTACAAGTGAAGCAATGTTCCAGCATGGTGCCTCGCAGCCCAGTAGCTCTGATGTTGTTCGAACATTGGTTACTCACGTATACAAAGACCTGCTTCCAGCCGAATTGCAGATAGATGCCAGCTCTGTCGTTTGCAACGGTGAGTGAGAATGTAGTTTGAAGGTTTGTGAGTCAGCCTGGCCCAGCGATGGCACTCTTGCCTCTGAGTTGGAAGGCTGTGGTTTCAAGCCCCACGTCAGCATTTGGAATCGCATTGTCTAAGCTCATGCTCCAAAACAGCGCAGAAAGGGGGGGTGGGCATGTTGCATTGTCGGAGTCGTCCTTCATGCAGACAGGTTAAACCCAGACCCTGCCTGGTTGTCCAGGTGGACATTGAAGATCCCACATTCAAAAAGAGAAGGGAGTTTCCCCAATTCCCCAAATAAAATTGGTCACTCACTCCATGACAGTTTGTGGGACCCTGCTGTGTGCAACTGGCTGCTGCGTGTCTCTCACAAAAAAACTAACCCTAAACCAACAAAATATGCAGTCAATCCACTTCATTCATTGTCTGTTGTTTGTTTGGAGGGTGGTGGGGGGAGGACGGAGTGAGAAAATTAACTCGGTCCCTGCGTCTGAGTTGGCTCCAAGGTGCCTGACAATGGAATACTGGAATCAAATAACACACTGGTAGTCCACCAAGTGGGTCTGTAGTATGTTAAAGCACTTCTGAGAGCAAACCATTCAGCCTGACTTGGAAAGTCAGACCAGTCATTATGCTTCTCACTTGGCTCCTGTTAACTCTGCGAGCCGAAGTCCTAATGGGTAGGGTAGTTCCAGATGGACAAACAGCAGGCAGCTTGCCTTGGGACGTCCTCCCGACGTAAAAGGTGCTATATAAATGTAATGTTATTGTTGTTGCTGCACACTCTGACAGTGGTCTCCATTCAAGCTGTGTGTTTCTTTTTGGTGGTAAAACTCTAGCAGTTAACCCAGTGCCATTACATTGAGGCTCGACTATGCAAACTCACTGTTTGTCGGCCTCCCCAACTCCTCCCTCCACAGGCTGCAGATAATCCAGAACTCTGCAGCCTGTGCCCTCTCACGCACCAAACTCCGTGACCCTATCACCCCCATCCTCGCCCAACTCCACTGGCTTCCCATCACAGAGGATACAGTTCAAGACCTTCAAAGCCCTCCATGGTCTTGCTCCCCCCAACCTCTCTGACCTCCTAACCCCCTACCATCCTGTTCACTCCGTCCACTCAGTGGGCTCCGGCCTGCTTTACGTCTCCCACCTTGCTTACCCCACTATTGGAGAGCAGGCCTTCTGCCACTCTGCCTCTACCCTCTGGAACTCCATCCCGCAGTCTTTCTGTCTCGCCCCTTCCCTCATCACATTCAAGACCCTCCTCTTCGGCCATGCTTTCGATCTTTCTGCTTCCTTGCCCTCCCCCTTCCCCCACCCCAAAACTCAGCTCGGGTCTAACTCTGTCTGTCCTGCGCCTTGGGACGTCCTCCCGACATAAAAGGCCCTATGTAAATGTAATGTTGTTGTCGTTGTTACACACTCTGGGTGTCCCCAAGCCTTGGCTCTCACCAAACTGTGCCCCAAACCCTCAAAATAGGTAAGGGTGTAAAGGAGAGACACAGAAAGTAGTATTCCATTCCAGATACAGGCAAACTTACGTTTTTACATTTTGCTGAAGTGTATCTGAACCAAATTGAGTTTCATGCATCTCTCTTACACCTAACGTTTGGAGATTCTTAGCTAACGGCTGCTTTTATTTATTTTTTGGTCAGGTTATAGCTTATCCAACCTGGAACCTGAAAAGCTCTTTGTGGAATTTACAGCCTTGAGTACAGGGTTTGGTCCCAGCTCTGGAAAACCCACATTTTACCAAGATCTCCTCCAACACGTGAGAACCTGGGTATGTACAGTTTGCCTGGGTGTGTAAAAGGCAGTGGTGGTCCAATCCTCCTGCATTGGGATTGTAGAACCATGGCCTTAGATAGTAGTGACCAACCTGTGGTCATTGGGGCCATCAAGAAGTCCACTCCCCCACCCCATCCCACCAACATTCACACAAGTCTAGGTAAGTCCGTGTTCAATCAGTTGTGTGTTTTCAGTTTTTTTTTCTTGATTGATTCATGGCATGAATCAAGAAATATTCAATCAACAACATTTATTTTGTTGGCCGACCATAAAGGAGTTGAGCATTTGGAGTTGAAGTACAGATCAGGCCATGATAGAATGCCAGAACGGGCTCGAGGGGCTGATTGGATTTATGTTCCTAAAGGTTGGCCACCTCTGCCTTTGAACTCCTGGTTCTCCAAAGCTATGAGCTATGAACATCTGGTCAAAACTCGCAGCAGATAAACGGGAGTGTTCAGAAGAAAAGAGTTTGGATGAACTTGATCTCTTTGCACAATGTCACTCCAACCATTGGATCAGTAGCTCAGGCTTGCCCTTGACTGCCTTTTCCTTGTCTCACATACTCCTATCCATGCCTCCTTATTCTGTAAACATCTAAATATTGTTCTGGTTTTGCTTGACAATTCCTTTTAATATGCTATATACACCTCTCGACTCTCTTCCTCCTCCTCGCTCCCTCCCTTCCCTCCCCTCACCCTGACCATTTCCCCCCTCCTCTCTCCCTCCCTTCCCTCCCCTCACCCTGACCATTTCCCCCCTGCTCGGGTCATGACCCAACTGTGCAGCGCCTTGGGACGTCCTCCTGACGTGAAAGGCGCTCTATAAATGGAATCTTGTTGTTGTTGTTGTTGTGTCTGTGAGGTCTCCTCTGGTATGGTTTCTCAGCTTGTTCAATCGTTGCTCATCCCTCATTCCTTTTGACACTGGAACTCTTGAGGGCAGCTCCGATTTAACTTTTAATCTCCTATGTTAACATTTCTCTCAACTGAGACACAAGTGATGGTGGTTGGGTGTTTTCAAGAACGGGTGCCTGTATGTGAGTGTGCTGTCTTTATCAATAGCCAGTTGTTCTAATGTGTCTTGACTGTTTGCAAGGTTGTGCAGAGCCTCGAGGAATGGTATCCAGTCCAAGAGTTCAATATCGATAGGGTCAGGTGAGTAAACTTTCCACTTCAAAATTGAACAGCTCAGAAATAGGCCATTCGGCCCATCCAGTCTGGTTGGCTTTTACATTCCACGTAAGTGCCCATCTTAGATCCTATCCCAAGTCCCATATCTTGTCTTTCTCCATATCCCTCAACTTTATTCTCTCTACTACGTGTCCAATTTCTTTTGAATGTGCCTTGGTCGCTGCCCCAACAACTGGCCTGCGGTTTGAGCCATCAATCTGGATAGGACTCCAGTCTGGGAGCAGGGTTGCTCGTTTGGAGGTGGCAGCCTGGCCCAGTCAACGGCACTTTGGCTCCTGAGTCTATTGCACGCAAGGGCTTTGAGCTCTTTGCTGACACTCCAGTGCAGTGCTGAGTGGGTGCTGCCATCCTTTGGATGAGACATTAAACTGAAGTCCTTTCAATCCGTGGTACTATTCAAAAAGAGAAGGGAGTTTCTCCTAGTGTCTCGGGTGTGAAGTGAACAACGGTCTCCTTCCCACCCACCTCAATTGAAATTGGTCATTCGCATTGTGGCTGTTTGTGGGGCCACCTGAGGTGAACAAGGGAGCTGCAAAATAATCATTCCACCTGGCATTAAAGCCCTTTGAAACATGTTGAAGGCATCGTGTCAAAATACAATCACTACACTTTAAAGCATATTCTGTGAAGCGCTTTGAGAGATCTCAACGACAGGATAAGGCGCCGCATCAAATGAAACGATTAATATTATTAGCAAATGCAAGGAACAGTATTACTCCCCCTTTTCTTTCTCCCCCACATCCGCGCCATGACCGGCACTGCCTACCACCACCTCTGCAACATTGCCAGACTCCACCAATGCCTCACCCCTCAGGCTGCTGAAGCCCTCACTCACGCATTCGTCACCTCAAGGCTCGATTACGGGAACTCCCTCCTCTTCGGTCTTCCCTTCATAAGCTGCAGATCATCCAAAACTCTGCAGCTCGTGTACTCTCACGCACCGGGCTCCGCGACCCCATCACTCCCACCGTCACGCGATTCCACTGTCTCCCCATCCCCCAGAGGATCGAGTTCAAGATCCTCGTCCTCACTTTCAAGGCCATCCATGGCCTTGCCCCCTCCTACCTCTCTGACCTGCTAACTCCCCAACAACCTGCTGCTCCCTCCGCTCATCAGGCTCCGGGCTGCTCCATGTCTCCTGCCTGACCCTCCCTACCATCGGTGGCCGGGCTTCCAGCCTCTCTGGAATTCCATCCCACGGTCCCTCCGCTTCGCTTCCTCCCTTGCATCTTTCAAGGCCGGTCTCAAGAACCTTCTCTTCGACCGTGCAATTATCTCCCTCCCACCTCTCGGCCCTCCCTCACCCCTACACCACCTCTCCCCCATGCTCAGACCCCAACATCTGACTGTTCAGCCCCTTTGGATGTCCTCCCGACTTGAAAGGGGCTCTATAAATATAATTTTGTTCTTGTCCTTGAGATCTGTTTGTTCATGATCGCAGGCACATCCAGGGGGATGTGAATGTTCATGGCACAGCACTCCTGAACACCTCTGGCCACGTTGATGATGTGCAAGCATTGAACAATCTTCACAGCCTTGTTAATCATTCTGTGGATCTGAGGTCCCTGAAAGTGAACGGTGAGTCCCTGGTGCCTGATTAACCTCTCCTTATCTTGGTTATCATTTGGTTAATCTTGAGGCTGGCCATTGTCAAAGACTTGAATACAATGTGGCATGTGATTGCACTCCCAACATTAGTAACCTATTAAATGCAAATACAGATCTCTGACAAATAAGTCTAAGCCCACCGAGACTGCCCAAATTTAGAGTAAAGTTCAAGGTGACTTGTGCACTCTGCTACCTTAAGACTGTTTGTGGGACACTGCTGTGCACAATTGGCCCACAATTTCGTATTTCACCCACAAAATACAGTAACTCTACCATACAATATGTTCTGTGAAGCATACGTATTCCACTCCAGACACAGGGACATTTCTATACATAAGTGGCACATCTCTGTGGAGCTCTGTCAAATCCGAATATATTTAAGCATGGTGATGAGTTTCTGGGGATGTGTCAGACACTTGGATGACCAAAAAAAAATCGAGGGCACGAAACAGCCTGAATTCTCCTCCACCCCGTAGCCTCACAAATTGGGTTTACAAGTGACTTGAGGTTAAATATTCTGCCAGCATATTGTGATACTGACTGGACTATGAAATCTATGTAAGAAATGTTTCAATTCTTGCAAAATGTTAAGCATTTTTAAGAGCTGCAAACGTGGCTTTATCTGCTTCGATTTATGCTAGCGCCTCCCTACCTCTCCAACCTGCTCACACCCCACTTGTCTACCCACCCCCTTTGCTTGGGCCTTCTGTGTGCCTCCCAATCCCTCCGCTCTCCCCTGCCTCAGTCCTTCCATCTTGCCCCTCTCTTTACTTACCTTCAAATCGCACCTGAAGTCTTTCCTCTTCGACTGTGCCTATGGGTAAAAAAAATAAAGTCCTATGAGACACTGTCCCACGTGAAGGGTGCTATATGAATTAAAATTCACGTTTTAATTTGATCACTCAATCCATTACTGTTTGTGAGTCACTGCTATGTACAAATGGCTGCTATGTTTCACGCACTTTAACTTGTTCCTTATTTTTGAGACCACAAATGAGTCATGACTTCTGTCCTTGTTTCATCTGATTACCTCACTTCTGTCCTTGTTCCAGCTCTTTATCCTGTTGTCATCCTGTCAGTGTATTTTACATTGACTTGCTGACCACATCCCCTCCTGTTCAACCTTATTCCTGGACATTATCTCCGTTAGAGTGTCTCACAGCGATTGTTTCAGCAAAACATCTGCTTCCATCCACTTTCAGTTCCCTAGCCGCATAGATCTTGCAATACTTCTCATTGTAAAATAGCTGACATTCATTTAATATTTATATATTCTGTAAAGTGGTTTTGACTGTTTTGCCCACAATACAGTGCAAACCATAGTATATCCTATGAAGTGCTTTTAGACGTCTCGATGACGTGATAAGGCGCTATATCAAATGCAAATATATTTTAATACTTCACATTCACTTCATATTTTACAATCCTCAGTGTTATTGGACAGAGCTGAAATTATTGCTTGCGTATTTACCTAGCAGTAAGTAGGAACCTGGTTGTTGGATCATTTTTCCTGGGGTAATAATCCCTTCAAAAAATAATAAATGAATTAATAATTTAGTCACTCAATCCACGACTGTTTGTGCTACGCTGCTGTGTGCAATTGGCTGCTCGTTTGGCCCATAAAACATAGTCGATTCACTTTTATAGTATGTGGAGTCCTGTAGCTCAGTGGTTAGAGCACTCGCTTTGCAAGCGAGAGACCTGAGTTTAATTCCAGGCAGAGGGCGAAACCCTGGGCAAGTTTCCTTACTCCACACAGAGCCTAATAATAATCCCTCCAAAACCAATAATAAATTGGTCATTTTCAATCTACGACTGTTTGTGGGACATTGCTGTGCGCAATTGGCTGCCGCGTTCGCCCACAAATACAGTCAATTCACTCTACAGTGTGTTCTGTGAAGTGCTTTGGGACGTCCTCCCGACATGAAAAGCGCTATATCAAATGCAAGGATTATTATTATTTTCTGAAGCGCATTGAGACATCTCAACGACGCGATAAGGCGCTATATCAAATGATATATTAAAAATCCTGTAGGCACAGTTTATTATTATTGAAAAACATACAGATGACAAAGATGTTGGGTCGGTGTATTGAAACTGGATGTTTTATCGCTATCGTATTGTTGTGTATAAATGTGCTCTGCTTGTTCCAGGTGCTGGGGTGAGTCTTCATGTGTTGCCAATTTCCTTTGCTATCACCAGCCGGGAGTACAACAGCACACTAAGAGACTCGCGATCTGCTGATTACTGCAGCCTTGGCAGAGCCGTGGTGGAGGCTGTAAGTTTCCGCTATTATGTCTTTAAAATTGGTCAGTCGAGGGTTTAGCTAAAAGTCTCTGTGACCAGAACCCACCTCAAGCTTTTTGGCCATCACCCCCATTCCTTTCCCAAGGGGAGATACGGAAATCATAATCCCGTTTGGCACACGTGTTGCCCGGTCATTAACTATTAAATGCTTTGGTTAATGGATGATAGGGTGTGCTGTACTCTGACTTCTGTATATTTTCTTTGCTCATAACCGTTTTGCCCAGCTGTTCAAAGGCATTTTATCTACTCTTTACTGGTCATTCCAGAGGGTTTCAGGATGGATTGGAGCTGTTGAACATTCATTATATACAGAAACGTGTCCCATGGCTTGACGTCGCTGTAGCATGGGCTTACTTGATTTTATTTCAGCGAGTAGATTGGGGAAGAGGTTGAGAAAAGGGTGAGGGTTTCAACGTATTCACTCCCTCACCAGACTCCCGAGTCTATTACTCCCGACAATTAGACACAAAAAGTATCATTGGTATTAGACACTAACTCAGTCCCCTGGGTGTGGCTGAGCCCCTTGCTCAGTTCAGCTACTAGCAGGACGATATTAACGCCACAGAACTGAGCACTATCTCATAGAAAAGCCACAGTTCAGGTCTAGAAGGTGAATATAATTGTGGAGACTGAATCTGTTGGTAGTTTTCCACTGGAGTTTTTTTTACATTAAGAGTCCACAGATAATCCTTCAGATGGTAGATATTACAGAGTGTCTTTCATACAGAAGCTTGAATGAAAAAGAATAATCGTTGAAGGGTAGAGGTGATGATACTTTGACTCTACATTGACTGCAACCCTTGAAGAGGTCTAGCCTTTTAGTTCTCCAAGCAGACTGAGCCAACAGTCCCTACTTACCCACCAATAATAATAATTTGGTCACTCAATCCACGACTGTTTGTGGGACACTGCTGTGCACAATTGGCTGCTGTGCTTCGCCCACAAAATACAGTCAATTCACTTTACAGTATATCCTGTAAAGCGCTTTGAGACGTCTCGAAGATGTGATAAGGTGCTACATCAAATGCAAGGATTATTATTATATATCTCACCTTCCCTTGTTTTGAGAATTTCTCCTTGTTTTGAGAGCTTTTCCCCTCTCGGACTCCATTTCCCTCCCCTGCCCCCACCCCGACACTAAACACCAATATGAAAGAGTCAACAGACAGGAGGCTTGTGGTTTGGGTCCCCATCCCCCAATGGATAGAATTCAAGATTTGCATTTGAATTTCTCCAGGATCTTACAACAGCTGTGTATATTACAAAATAGACCTTGCCCCATTACATTCTGTGCAACTTCCGCTCCGCTTTGCAGCAATAAGCAGATTGTATTCCACAACAATGATGATAATAATCCTTGCATTTGACACAGCGCCTTATCACTTCATTGAGACGTCTTAAAGCACTTCACAGGATACACTGTAAAGTGAATTGACTGCGGATTTTGTGGACAAAACGCGACAGCCAATTGCGCACAGCAGTGTCCCACAAACGGTCGTAGATTGAGTGGCCAACAAGTGTGGACCATTGAGACGTCTAAAAGATGTGAAAAGCGCTGTATCAAATGCAAATATATTATTATAATTTCTCTGCTTTGCAGCACTTCATCTAGTGCCCGAACAGCAGACCCCTTAGTGACCAATGATCTAGTGAAGCACTTTACGATGGCATTCCCCTATGTTACCGGTTAGGAAAGGGCTTTGGACTTTGTTTATATAATAATAAACCTTGCATTTGATATAGCACCTAATTATGTCTTCGAGACGTCTCAAAGAGCTTCACAGAATATTCTGTAAAGTAAATTGACTACATACCTTCTGGACGAAATGTGGCAGCCAGTTGCGCACAGCAACGTCCCACAAACAGTCGTGGATTGAGCGACCACATCATTATTTTAAAAATGTATGCTTTTGAAGAGATTATTACCCATGGAAAGCGATCTGCCAATTGACTGACAACCAAATTGCAACTTACTGCTAGGTAAACAGAGGCGTGTTGAGGAAGCAAACTTGACCTTTGTTTCGTCCTGCCCGGGAATCAAACGCTGGTCCTCTCGCTTGTGAGGCGAGTGCTCTAACCACTAAGGCGCTGCACCGACTCTGTCAAACATTGGCAAGTTGTAGAGTGAGGCAACAACAAGGACAATAAATTACGCTACATTTGTACAACAACAGTTTTCATGCCGAGAGGATGTCCCAAGGAGCTGAGGCACTTACTAAGCTTTGCTTCTTTCAGTTGCAGAGAATCCTGGAAGAAGAATATGGCCATTTCAAGCAAGCAGTAATCAAACACTTTAGGTAAGCTGATAAATCAGTTTGTTGTAGTTTCTTTATTTGCAACAATCGCCAATCCTCAAACCCTTCATTTAACTCCAGATCACTTATCTTCAGCCCCTCCCCCCAGGAGCCTAATCACTACATCTTATTCACTGTAGTCTTGGCAACATTACAGTACCAGTGCCAGCCTTTAGCTGACAGTCATTTATTATATTATTGTTGCCCACTGGGTTGGACATTCCTCTTTTTGAGCCTCTTCCACAATTTTGCCAGATCTCTCGCACATTTGCCATAACCCCTACTCTAAAAAGATTGTACGAGACCTGAACTAAACTAATGGAACGGGTTTGATGGCCTCCTCCTACGTTCCCTTTATGACTTTACTGCCCTCCTGTCCTTCCAGGGAGAGCGTGCATATTCGATTAGACATGAGAGGTTTTGTTTGAAGGTAGCAAGCATGGTTTGGGTATTCTTAAGCATTGTGTTGGGTTTCCATATGTGTCAGACACCTGGCTGACCAAAACACAAACCTCCACTACCCACATCTCTCTCTCCCCCTCTCTCTCTTAACTCTCCCTATTGATCCTGGAGTTCAATTAATCCCATTTCCTTTATTAGGAGAGGGTCTATCATCGCCACAAGTGACCTGATATTTCTGAACACACCACCATCCAGGAGTGATGTTTTGGATCTATTTTCAAGATCTGCTCCAAAGGGACTTTTGGCTGGGACAGACTTTGAAGTTGACTCTTATTCTTTCAGTGTTGGAGGTGAGAATCCCGATTTGTAACTTTCCCTATAACTAAGGTTTCTTCAACAAAGTCACCTTGACTAAAGATTTGCTAATGAAGCGATCAACCAACTTGCACACAGCGATGTCCCCAAAAACAGACGTGAAGTGAGTGAACAATTTTTTTGGGGGGGAATTGTTGGCCTGAACACCGGGAGAGAGAAAACCCCTTCTCTTTTCGAGTAGTACCACATGATCTTCAACATCCACCTAAATGTTGACTGAAGTCGTCTTTCATTCTCTTATTGCTCGCTTACCTTCCTTGTCCTGTACTTTTCTTGGGTAATAATTGACAGATTGTGGAACCAATCAATTGTCATGGAATTGCATAGAATATACAGCACAGAAACCGACCATTCAGCCCAACTGGTCTGTGCTCCACATGAGCCTCCTCCTGCCCTTCCTCAACTATGACTATCAGCATAACCTTCAATTCCTTTCTCCCTCATGTACTTATCTTGCTTCCCCTTAAATGCATCTATGCTATATGCCTCACCTACTCCTTGTGGTAGCAAGTTCCACATTCCCACCGGTCTCTGGGTAAAGAAGTTTCTTCTGACTTCCCTATTTTATTTATTGGTGCCTGTTTTATATTGATGGCTGGTTTTGGTTTCCCCCACAAGTGGTAACACCTTCTCTATGTTTACTCTATCAAAACCTTTCATAGTTTTAGAGATCTCTATTAAGTCACTGCTTCTCAACCATTTTAATAGAAGACGCGAAAAGCGCGATAACAAATGCAAGGATTATTATTTAATCAGCCTTTCAGTGACTTCACTGGCAACTCCTGACTTGGCTATTTGCCATTAACTCGCTTACTTTAACTTTACTGTTATTTTCAAGCTTTTACCCCTTGATCAGATTATCTGGATGTTTTCATTTTGGGTCTGGGGTTCTCTTTATGTGGGTGGAAATGGCCTGAGATGGTTCAAGTGAAATTCCGGTCAGATGCTACTTTACAGATCGCCTACAAAGTCAGTAAGTCCTGAGTCATCTCAATGACATAAATCCCTATATCAAATCCAAGGATTGTTGTATATTAAGTAGCTATTCTTTAGTTTTTGTTCTTGATCACTCAGAGCCATTGATCTTTGAGATGGGTGATGCCACAGTTCAGGAGATATGGTCTGTAATGGTAACTTTCCCAGCAACAAGGTATCTGTTAGAAACTCCTTCAGACTGCTGGCACCACACTGGCAATTAATCCCACCTGTTATGGTGTAAGCGAGACAGTTATTGCCTTTGTGTGGAGTGTCCCTTCTGCTTAATTGGCTTCTTTGGCACCTCCTTACAGATTGATTTGGTTTGTTTTGCTTTTACTTCATGTCTGGTTCCTATCACACTGACCTCCTTGTAACCTCACTGAACTGGCAACACAGCAGAACCTCTTACTTCTGCTAACCATCCCCAAGTAGTATAATACCTTGACCAACATGAACCCTTCAGTCAAGCTGTTCATTGCCACTGATTTGAGTGTCACTTTTCCAACAGGATTGCAGTTAGGACTACCAATTTTTGTTTTGTTTTTAACCAATAAACCCTGATAACAGCCCTGATACAAACACAATTCTTGTGAATCTTCTTGTCTCTTTGTCTTCTATCTTCTCGATTCAAAAAAAAAAATAAATTTGGTGTTTATCCTGCCGAGTTAACAAGGCAGCTTTATCCAATAAACATCAGAACTGCCTGCCTTGATATAACTCTGAGATGAGATTTTCTCTTTCTTTCTTGCTCTAGGCAGCTTCCCGGTGTGAAACTGCACACACGTCACTCTGCGCCTCTCCCTCTTCTCCGTGCAATGTGTGCGCATGTGTCTGAAGTGTTTGTAAAGAGGGAAACACTGCGCGTGTGTGTGTATGTGTGTGAGGGCATCTCTCTCCCCTCCATGCGCACTGTCTTCTCAATACATTAACCAAGTTAACAAAGCCCTGGACACCCACCCCCCATATTACAAACGTGCTGAAAATAAACCACGAAAGATCAAATCAATAAATTCCAAAAATCAGAACCCCTAATTTAACTATAGTTTGTAAACCTCCCTGATATCCCTACAACTGTGTGTTTTGATGTGGGTGTCAGCTGCATTTTCGATTTGTCTTAGTTTAGGTATCAAAATGCCACTGAAAGTCTCACTAAAAATGCGTTCAATCAGTGTCATTGAAAATCTGACCTCCTCCCTCTGTAGGTGTATAATGCAGTCTTGTAGTGCACACTCACCTCGCAAGCGAGAGGACCCAGGTTCGATTCCCGGGCAAAGCAAAACCTTAGGCAAGTTTCTTTACTCCACACGCCCCTGTTTACCTAGTAGTAAGTAGAAACCCTGTTGTAATAAACCCTCCAGAAAAAATTCACTCAATCCATGACTGTTTGTGGTACACTGCTGTGCGTAATTGTCTGCCATTTAGTCCACAAAATATACAGTCAATCCACTTTGCAATAAATTCTGTGAAGCACTTTGAGACGTTTCAATGACATGATGAGATGCGATATCAAATGCAAGGATTATTATAATAATTGCAATGCTTCAAGACTATTTGAAATTCCTGTTGTGAGCTGGCCCTTTGCCATGCTCTGCTGAGTTAACAATCCAGCTTTTTGGGGTAAAATATTTACAAGGCTTTCTGTGGCTCAAGTCAAATCCACTCAGTCTCCCGTTCCCCAGCTCTGTTGCCAATTTATCCCATTTGAATCCGTTGACTAAATTCGTTACTCTATTTTAATTATAGTTATTTGTATTTCATTTAAATGAAATTGTTGACTTCTAGGTCTTCATGTTAATCAAGCTTACAGAGACATTTAAGAAATCTTTATACAGCAATGTGCCTGATTCAGGGTTTAACTGATCCGGGGAACAGAGTTGAACAGATCTGAGATGCTTGTATTTCCTTCTTGTGAACCTTCTTGCTGCTTTGTCTTCTATCTTCCGGGCAAGGTGGTTCCAACTTCAGGCGAGTGCACGACCAATACTTTTCTACCCCTGAACAAACATGTTTGTTGACTTGGTGCTCAACTGTTCTCCTTCAATCCATCATTGGTTTTGAATTGCCATGGAGTCCTGTAGCTCAGTGGTTAGAGCACTCACCACGCAAGCGAGAGACCTGGGTTTGATTCCCGGCAGCGCAACACCATACGGCTGATGATAATCCCTCAAGAAAAAAAATAAATTGGTCACTTCAATCCATGTTTGTTTGTGGGACAAACGCTTGCTGCATTTCACCCACAAGTATATAGTCAATTCACCACTTTACAGTACATTCTGTGAAGCGCTTTGAGACGTCTAGAAGATGTGATAAGGTGCTATAGCAAATGCAAGGATTATTATTATTACAATTTTCATCCACTATATTTTCCTTACATGGATCTACTATTATCAAATGGTTCTCTTGATTATTACACCGATGCTATTTTTTCTTTTAATTGTTAATAGAGAGCAAAGACTTAAAAAAATGAAAGGGTGGTGGAAACAAATTCAATAACCACTTTCAAAAAGGAATTGGATAGCTACTAGAAAAGGAAAAAATTGTAAGGATTTGGTGAAAGAGCTGGGGAGTGTGACTGATTGTCAGGAAGCCGGCACAGGCACGATGGACCAAATGGCGGCCTCCTGTGGTGTAATATTCTATGATTGTATAACTCACATGCATCCTCCCACTGCTACATCCTGCCTCTTAGACTTTGAGATAGGCCCCATCCACTTCTGCATACCAAACCCTCTTGTCATACAGCCTTTTTCTAATTAACTGCTCAAGGACATTAGACAAAGGAAGAAAAAACAGACTATTCATTTCTACCAAGGTTAACAAAGTTCTCAGCAGAATTTCAGTTCAAAGTATAGCCGTACAAATTTCAAGTATCTTTCATTATTGCCTCTTCCATCTGAATGTTAAATGCCAATGCCACTTTGGGAAAAGAAATACTCCTATTCATTTCGCCCACAAAATAAGGTCAATTCACTTTACCGTATGTCCTGTGAGGCGCTTTGAGACGTCTCAACAAAGTGATAAGGCGCTATATCAAATGCAAGTATTATCATTATGAACAAAATGCATAATAAAACAGCATCATAGTCAACTTAACTGAGTAATGGTCTATACTGTTAAAGTGATTGCAAATGTATTTCATACTGGCAAAACTTAGCAATTGTCTACAGTATATTGTCATGATGTATCATATCCTTATGCCAAAAATAATGCATCATGAAACTTCCCACGGTTGTGTGTGGGTGTGTGAAAAATGCCAATCCCAAGCTTCCTCTGCAATCGAATTAAAATATAAGCTTGCATTTGATACAGCGCCTAGAACCTTGATCTCTAAAGGACTTCAAGGGTAATTGCTGTCAACTGTAGTAGATATTTGCAGGTTGACGTAGCAGCCAATTTGTGCACCATGCCATAATGTGAAACAGCTATGAAGTGAGTTACCAGTTTTGTCTGGAGTATTGTTGGGCAGTGCTCTGGGAAGAACTCCATTCTTTTTCCCAAAGTGGAATTGCATTTAACATCCAGATGGAATAGGCAACAGAATCTCAGTTTAATGCAGTTGTTAACACCTCAAACAAAATATTGCATCTCTGCCAACTCAGCTTTCCCCCAGCCTAGGCTTTATTCCCAATGTGGGTCTCACTCACTCTGAGGCCCTGCTGTTGAGATTGTCTGGGTACGTCTCTCTCCTCTGTATATATATGTGTGTGTGTGTGTCTCTCTCTGAGTGTGTGTCTTCTTCTGTGAGTGTGTACGTCTCTGCGTGTGTGTGTCTCTCTCTCTGTTTGATAATAATTATCATGGTATAATGCCTTATCACGTTATCACAATGTCTCAAACGCTTCACAGGAATGACTATTTTATGAGCCAAACACGGCAGCCAGTTTACGCACAGCAATGTCCCACAAACAGTCTGGAAGCAGTGACCAATTTTTTTAATTTGAGGGTTTATTAGCCAGGACACCGGAAGAAGCTCCATATCTTTTCAAATAGTACCATG